TATCCTTGGGATTTGATAGAGAAGGTGAGGCAAAAGGAAAACTGGACTCATCAAATTTAACACTTTGAAATAAGTAGATCCTGCAATTAAAGTCAAACCATTTGTATCCCTTGTGAAACAGGCTGTATCCAACAAAAGTGCACTTGGTGGTATGGAAATTAAATTTATGAGAATTGTATGGCCTAGTAAAAGGATAAACTGCATATCCAAAGACTCTAATAATAGATAATTTGGAACCTATTTGAATAAAACTTGAAATGGAGAGGAATTGGATATAACAGATATGGATAGTCTATTGGTAAGGTATGTTGCAGTTTGGAAAGTGAACCACCAAAATTTCAAAGGTATACTAGCTTGAGCAAGTAGTGTTAAACCTTGTTGTATTATTTGTTTGTGTTTCCTTTATACTCTTCCATTTCGTTGCTGAGTATAGGGACATGGATGCCTAAATATAATGCCATGATCAAGAAAGTAAGAAACTAGACTTCTATATTCACCTCCCCAATTAGTTTGAACACACTTTAGGGTTGTGTTAAATTGTCACTCTGCTAGTTTGTGAAATTGATCGAAAATGTTTTGAGTTTCAAACTTTGCATTCAAAGGGAAAATCTAAGTAACCTATTGTAATCATCTAAGAATTGAATGTAATACTAAAACTATCTAGGAGATGGGATAGGTGATGGTCACCAAAGATTTGAATGGACTAATTCTAAGGGTTTAGAGGATCTAGAGTTGGACCTAGGGAAAACAGATTGGTGGAGCTTACCAAACTAACATGCTGTGCAAAAAATCAAAAGTACTCTTAACAGTATAATTTACTTTCAAAGAATGCAAATTTATTGCAAGAACAGTTGCATTAGGGTGACCTAATCGTGTATGCCACAGCATTCCACTGGTATTTTCAACTGGAAATTAAGATTGAAACATGCTTCTTCTATTATCAACAACATCATTAGTACAAAGGGATACAAATGCAGGAGAATTAGGAGTAACTTGAGTAACACTAGTGTCACTTAAACTCTTAAGGCCACAACCTTTATCAACATCATTATTTTCACAAAGAGTAGAAAATTGAGAAGACAAAAATTGTTTGGATTGTGACTCACTAAAAGCTCTGGCTGAGGAGTTGAAAGTTAAGACTATGGAGGTTGAATGATCAACGGGCAAGTTTGAGTTTGAGTTTGAGGTTGAGGGAGTGACTGAAATTTGAAATTGATAAATACAAGCCTTACGCCTTCCTTGAAAAAGAACAGCTTTGGATTGCTTGTCCTTAACCACATAATGGTTGGCAAAGAACTCAACAATTACACTATTGTCTTTAGTAAACTTAGAGATACTTAACATATTTTTAGTAATGTGAGACACACATAAGACATGCTTAAGATAAAGTGATCTAGAATGACAAGGTAATGAAGTGAAACCAGTATGGGATATAGGAAGTAACTCACCATTTCCAACCTAAAGCTACTCATTGCCAGAGTAGTTGGAATTCACTGTAAGTTGAGACAGGTCTAAAGTCACATGATCGGTAGCTCCAGAGTCCATGTACCAAGATGCATTCTGAACTGTGGATGGTGCAACAATGTAGTTAGTAATAGGATTGGAATGATGTTGTGGCTGAGTTTGGGACTAGACTATGACCACTAGTTATAGATGAGTGAGATCCAATGTTTATTTGAGACTGGATTAGGTTCTATTGAAAAACTAGCTGGAGTGCGATTTTGTACTCCTGACTTGGAGTAGAGTGGTGATGAAAAACCAGCTTGTGTAGGCATCTGAGTGCTTAAATTGGGATTGTAAGGAAACTGTGAATAAGTCTGACGAGGGAACTATGATCCTTGAAAGGCTTCTAGCGTTCTGGAATAATTTGGAAAAAAGTTGTTCTTGACTAACAAACTGTTTCCTCCTCTAAAGCTTGTATCAAACCTATGATAGCAATATAAGGCAAGGTGTGTAGTTTTTTAGAAAAGTTGATATATGAATCTACCTCTTCCTTTGCCACCAGTGAATTGTGGAGGGTAAAAATTGATATTGTGATGTTGAATTCATAAATTGATTAGGGCCAGTGACAGATTGGTGAGAAGTGAAGTTATGAGATGTAAAATCAGGAGTCTGCAGCGATTGAAATTGAGACTGTCCAATGTTGAATGGAGATTGTTCACTTTGGTATTTCTTACTGATCCCAATTGGTTGAGAGATTAGCAAGAGGAACTAAGCCTCCATAAAACTCAGTATTGACAATTGAATTCATTGCTAAATTGGCCTCCTCTAACCTGAGCTCATATTTCTGCAGAATAATCTGAGCTTCTTGAACAGATAGTGGATCTAACCTAGACTCCAATCTTGTAGTAATATTTACTATAGTAGCATCATATTCATCGTTAAGACCATTAAGAATGTAATTCATCAGTAACCACTATTCCATTAGCTGACAAACTTTTGACAAATCCCTTTATTTTAATGAAACAATCATGAATACTAAGATTGTCCTTCTTAGTATTTTGTAACAAATTCTTAACATGCAGAGCTTTGGTTCTTGACTTAGTGAGAAATTCCTTTTCCAGAGTAATTCACATATTAGCAAAGAACTAACATTTCAAAATTACTGTGAACATCGATTCAGATATGGATCCAAGAAGCCAACTTACTAATAACTTGTCAGTCTTTTTCCACTGATTGTATTTTGGATTAGGTTCCTTTTCAGTTGTTCCATCAGAACCTTCAACTTGAACTTTGACAAATGGGGCTGGACACGAAATCAATCAAGTGAGATGCTCCCCTAAATCGTGAGATCCAACCGCAAATAGAACTTGCGATTTCCAGAATCTGCAGTTATCCCTAATTAATTTGGGGGAAATGACAGGAAGAGCTGAAGAAGACATTGAGGTAGAGCTTGCACAATTGACAGACTCAATTAATTTGTGACCTGAATTGCTTAGATTAGAAGAGAATTGGGACAGATTGACCATCTTTGACGTTTGTCGATGGTTATGATACCATGTGATGTTTCAAGAATAAGCTGAGAAAACTAAAGAAGAAGTCTGAAAAATTCGAGTATATTGAGCTTAAATTGTTCAAGTACAGTGACAAACACATTTATAGTGTGAATGGTAACTAGCTGTTAGGTTTAACAGAATCTAACAACAGCTAACCAGAATAATAACTAAAACTAACAGCAGTTAACTTTTACCTGCTAACATTAACTCTTGCCCAGCTAACTTTGACTCTTTACTAACAATGAGAAGAAGGGTGGGTGCTCATTGAATCAATTAGCTTACTGGGAATTCAAGCAAATGTTTGATTAATGCAAACTAATTCACCTTAACACTACCGGAGCTCCTTACACTTGGTCCAATGGATAGAGAACTCAAGGCCTTATTGAGTTTTGACCTGATAAATCTTTATGTAATTCAACATGGCTAAACAACTAGAGTTGCAACTCTTGCTTCACCTTACCAAGATTGGTTTCTAATCATAATCCTTTTATTTTCATCACTAATAAAGAGGCAGCACTAAAGCCAAAACCTTTTAGATTTCATACTATGTGATGGAAACACATCTTCTTTCAAGAGGTGGTCTCTTCTTGTTGTAATAACACGCTAGTTCCAAGATGCCCAGTGTATGTGGTTATTGCCAAGCTGCGCAATCTTAAGGAACAACTATAGCTTCGGAACAAATTAGTTTTTGGTGATGTTCATGAAAAAGTGGAGAAGGCTAGAATAGCTCTTAAACACATGTAGCTCTCGATTTCATAAATAGGTATTTTCGTTGAAGCTTATGAGGAAGAAATTAAGGCTAATCAGATTCTCATGGAAGCCTAGTTTCCAACATTTATTTTGGAAAGAGAAATCTCGAATCTCTTGGTTAAATCAGGGCAATAGATGCTCAAAATTCTCCCACACTTACATTAAGATTAAGAGGTCCAGATCTTTTATCGATGCTCTTTCTACTGAGGAAACCTTGTGGAGGATAAGAAAATCACGTGGTCAATTACTATGAAATTCCAAGTTCTTGGTAATCGGCAAGCTAGCTATTAATTACCTTTTGCTATGAGTACTATCGATGTTCATTGAACAAATCATTGACTCGGAGTTTCAGACGGTGGAAAAAGACAATTAATCATCTAGATTCATAAAACATTAATTTCTTGGCCAATAAAAATAGAATTAATCATTTTTTTTTTCAACTAATCAACTACCATGCACCATCCCTCAACTGTCACCTTTCGGTTTTTATTAAAATCCCATCGCTAGGGATATTATGACCTCATTAATTAATTAAAAAAATCCAACGTGATAAACCCATCGAGTTGTCATCTCCCTTAATGTAACCTGCCATGTAATAACATTTATTATTTAAACGAGCTCGTCCCAAGAATTCAATGCTATTATTAATTGAATTTGAATGCTCATTGTGAAGAAAGAAGATAAGGTGGCCTAAACAGAGAGACTTAAATGCTAGAATTAAGAGCCACCAATCTTGATTCGCTATATCCTGCACCAATTTCCAAAAATAAGGACAACTCATATACATTGATACGGCCAGTTTTTAATAACTGATATATTGTTTTCATAAACGGTTCATTTCATTTTTCTTTTTTTCTTTACATGATTATTTAAAATTGAACTCATTTATTATGTTTAGAAACTATTAAAATTTGTTTAAAAGATATCAAAATTCCTTTTAAAAATATCAAACACCCGTATATAAAATTTATCCAAAGTTCCAAACCACTAAACATATGAGTTTAATTATGAATTTATGAACAATTTCACATAAGGTGATAAAATAAACCATAACTTAGCCCACTTTCATCTGTATGCAGGACTTTATAACAGCTTGAGCATATTGCTAATGTCTTAATTAATCAGAAAGATCTCAATATTTATTATTAAGCCAAATGAGGAAAGTTACACCAAATACTAAAAAGATAGATTTTCATCATTCAAATACACAGAACAAGTATTAAATTTACATGACATGATCCCGAGAAGAAATGTTTAATTCCAAGGAACCGAGACAATGATATTGGGTCCAGAATTAGCCTCTTCCCCTTCGGTAGATGTGAGTGCCATGACAATTCCATCCATTACTGATCCCATCCAATATGAAACACGAGTAGGTTTGTTACCTTTGTGAATTACAATCTCATTGGCCCCTATATCATCCCAACTTTCGCCTCTGACTTGACTCCTGAGATCCAACTCCCACGGAACCATCTCATTTTCAAGTCTCGAACAAGTTTCAATCTTGATGGTATAGAAAGGTTCTTTCAGAAAGACTGGGAACTTTGATGCCAATTTGCTACCCACCTCATTCTCAGTCTCCTTAACACAAACTAACACGAGTGTCTTGCCCGATTCATTTTCCAAGTTAATATTTTCGTCAGTAATCTTGAAGATCATTGTTTTGCCGCAATTTTTGGTTTGGTCGGACCTGATGATGGGAATGCTTGGAGAGCCACTAGTCTTTTTGAGAGTAGGGAGGTAGAATATGGGAGTTTCGATTGCATCATCAGCTTTGGAAAGCATTTCATTGTGAATATTAACCCATTTCTTGAGGAAATTATCCGTGATTAAGAGGTCTGCAAGAAGGATGTTGCAGCTCATCCCGATTGAATATCCGCCGCATTCAAAATTGGTCACCTGAAATTAACCAAAAAAGAAAAAAGACCCATTGAAATTAAATACATATAAAATAAGAAAATCGTATGAAGTAACCAAATTCAGAGAATGCATCTACCTGAACATAAAATAGTGGAGAGAACTGAGGATTTTGTTCATCAATGTCCTTCCAGAAGACAAGCTCAGGTTCATCGTCTCTACTCTCCTTATCGAGAAACTCCGACAAAGTCATATGGATCCTAGCTTCAATGAGCCTAAGGCCACTATCATTGGACACGAGTTCTAATCCAGCATGGCCATCTTCACCTCTTCGTAGTCAACCACTGAGAAATGGTTGATGAACCAAAGCTCGAGCTATCGATTCCTTCATCCAGCCGGCGACTATCCAACCAGATTCATCCTCCACCACCTTCTTGTAGTAAAGAAGTATGTTAAAGCACCTCCGGAAGATCCCTGAACCAACTGGATCCGTCACCAACACTTGCCGTCTCTGCCGTGGATCAGTTTCCTTAAATGGAGTAACGGTTTGCACAGATTCAATCTGTAAATTGGAGACTGGAGTTCCCTCACCATGTTGCCCTGCCATACTTAACAACTTGTGAAAGAATTGATCATTTTGTGGTTATTTATAGGAGTTATAAGTAACGTTAGTCGACCCCTGACATTTTAAATAAATAATGAAATTTCTTATTAATTATACTCTTATCATTTATTAGGAATTGCGATTATTAATTATAAATGTTGAATTAATTTTGATTGGTTAAATTAAAAATAATATTGATAAGAAATGAAATTTATATCTTGTGAACTACTAAAGATAAGAGACATTCTTACATCTTACTAAAATCAATGTATATATATATACACTGCAGAAAGAAAATAATATTTAATGCTTTTAGATTATAAGAATAAGAGGAAACTTTGGTATTACCTAAAGGGAAGTTAAGTAAAATAATGGCCTTACTTTTTTAAGGTCTAATGCCTCTACTCAATTGTGGTGTAGACATTTCTATTGACAAAAGGTTTTGAGAGATAGTGTTTGTATTTTGTAAATAATTTGGTAAGCTTTGGTATACCTAATGTCCTTGGAGGAGTTGTAATAAGGAAAGGGTTGGGTGTTGAGCTTAATTTGCATAAAATTTGGTCATCAGACGAGATCTAATCTACCTATTTCTTAATTTACTTTAATTTTCTTTCCTTTTAAAGAAGAAAGCCGGAAAGCAATCTGGTGTTCTGGTGGTAGTTGCTTGATGAAGCACGCAAAGGCCAACCTTTCCCAGATTGAACTTTCATTATTGATCGACGAAACACTTATTTTAGTATGTGTCGGCAATATCTACCCACCTTGCCTTTCCAACTTTTTGTAATCTAACTAAAAAGATCGATGAAAAAATATGGTGGTGTAATATAGGGTTTAATTTTAAGTATCGTGTGTCACATTTCTATTATTGAGTTGTTAAACAAATATAATTCAAGGGTATTGATTAATTTGGTGATTTTATACTCAGATGAATAATGAAACCATATTTACTTTAGCAAGCTTTCAAATTTTCATAATTTTATTTCTGATGTTATTATTATAGTACCTTAAGTTTTGGATTATATGATCAAAGAACCTAATTAATATGGGCGGCCGATTTGGTATAACTGTACAGGGAAACTGGATTTGTTGGTGATGAGTACAAGGGCTCCAAGTAGTCCTAGACGCTATCGCCATCATCAGTATGCGGTTATTATGGTTTCATTTACGAGAGCTACAAAAGGCCAGACCGCCAGATCGCCAGACCGGGCATTCTGGCTTAATATATTGAGCTATTGTATGACAGTTGTAATTGGCATGTGCTGCAGTGCATGCAACTCATAAAGGATTTTCTCCATGGCAATCCAAATCGCGAGAAGTCTAGAATATTCAAATATCAATTACAACTGTCTTCATTTCAAAGAAAAATCAACTAACAGAGTTTTTATTTAATGCATGGAGCCAACGCGAAAACACAAAGGACAACGTTAGATGGGATTTTACTGGATCATTTTGTTCTCTGTAAAAATCTTTACTGCAATTAACCTCTCGTCTTCGATGCTGATCTAATTTAACTCTTATACATTGGGAGACAGTGGTGGACCCAAAGCGTTTGTTGGGGGTATCTGCGGCTCCACCATTGTTTGCCAAACAATTAGTGAAAACTTAAAATAAAAAACACCAAACCTTAAGTGAAGAAAATAATATAATATCAAGAACTTGAAAGAAAAAAAATGCAATAATATAATACTTTTTTACTTGAATAAATCTATGGGAAGCAAAACCTTGAAAAAATGTATTGAAAATCTCATTCAATTCACTAGGAAACACAAGAAAAATTTTATGTGGAAAAACTTCTTCAATGTGAAGAGAGCAAAAAACCATGGAAATCTAAAGATCCACTTAAATTCAATATAATCAAAAGAGTTTACACCAGCCACTATCCACCCAAAATATTCAACACAAATTTAGAGTTCAATCACAACTCTAACACAAATAAAATACATGAAGGTTTACAAAGAGATGAATTAAAATCATTAGAGAAGCAGTCAAACTTTAAGCTATATAACTCCAAATCCAGCCATTAAAATCAAAACTCAACTGTCTAGATTAAAAATCTACACATTCTCTTCGCACTAACTAAAAAATCAAGTTAGAATGGTATACCTAAAGATATGAATATATGAATATTGATTATATAAATATAAAAGCAAGTTAGAATGGTATACTTGAAGATCTTCAATTTAACACGATTTTCCGCTTCGATATATTCTAAAAGTGTTCAATGATATCTTCATTTTCATTTGTTGCAAAAAACTTCCCTTTCAATGTAAACCACCAAGCAATTGTTCATCCACTCATCTCCCATTTGATTACGTAAACTATTATTAAGAAGATTCATTGCAGAGAACACCCTTTCAACTGTTGCAAGAAAACTCAACCATTTTTTTAGCAAGGTCGGCAATCCCTTCGATATGAGTGAAATTGACGTTGGTGCTAACGACATAATAGTTTTCAAGTTGATCATTGAGCAACCAAATATCGTGTTGAGAAAAATTGACAGGATAAAACTTTGCAAATTCAAGTAATCTATCTTTGTTAAATGTAGCAAAAGAGTTACTTGGATCAAGATATGCCATACACTGAAGCAACCTTATATTTACTTCATCAAAATGATTATTGAGTTCTTCTTGAATGTTATCTAAAACTGTAGACATCAATTCCACCTTAAAATGATGTTTATTCGTAATTGGTGCAATTTCTTGTTTTGTCCTCCCAAAGTTATCTTCCATGTTCTTAGGGATTGATATGTCATTATCTTTGCACATATCATAAGCTTCTTTTAACAATATATTGAAGCAAGTGTCCTTATTTCTCATTTTATGCAATCGACGCTTCAAATTTTGTACAAATTGCATGGCATTAAGAAGATCCTGATCTTTTCTTTGTAATGCTTGTGACAGTTCATTTGTGATTCCCAATACTCTCTTCATTAAGAATAACAAAAAGACAAATTCAAAATTCTCCATGATTCATAATAAACTCCTTGCTTGACTTTTGCTTTGCTAATCATCTCGTTCAATCTCAATCACCCTAAGCACATCAACAACAAAAGAAAATAAGTTTATGACACTATGAATTGTCCCTATGTGTGAACCCTGATCATTTAATAGTGCATTCTTGATCCAAACCTCGTCCCATTTGAAGATCACCATTAAAAATCAAAGATATCACATATTCGTACTGTTTATCACGTATAAGATCTTTGCGCTTGCAAGATGTCGTTACGATGTTTGATAACATAGAAATAGATTGAAAAAATTCACCTAATGCCGAATGGTTATTTACAACTTTTACTAGCGCTAGTTAGAGTTGATGAGAGAAATAGTGAATGTAGAAAGCTGGATTATTGTCTCTCAATATCAACGTCTTCAAACCATTGAACTCACCCTTCATATTGCTTGCTCCATTTTAACCTTGCCCCCGTAAACTTGTTAAACTCAATCCATGCTTTACAAAAAAGGCATCTATTGCAATTTTCAAAGACTTGACAAAAGTATTCTTAACATGTACAACCCCAATAAAACGTTCAATAACACAACCTATTTTGTCCATGTAGCGAAAAACAATAGTAATTTGTTCGTTCACTACCACATCACGAGATTCATCAACTACTAAAGAGAATGGTTGTTTATCTCCCATAATTTATGCAATTACTCTCTTGGTCGTCAAATAAGCACAAACATTAGATAGTTCCCTTTGGATTTTGGGGGCCGTCATTTGATGGTTTTTCAAAGCATTTCCCATCACAACTTTCTTTATGTCGTCATTGTGATCAGATGAAACTTTAGTTCCATAAAGTTACCTTAATTTTTAGATTCAACTGACTCGTCATGACCACGAAATGCCAATCCTTGATGTAAAAAAAATCTAATGCAATCAATTGATGCATTCAAGCGAATGCGATAGTCTAGTTTGTCCTTTTTCGACACGCAAGCAAGATTTACATGATGTTTTACCTTTGGTTCACCAAATCAACACACTTGGCATGACATTGGTTATGAGTACTGGAATGATCTCCAACATGTTTTTTTCACTTTTGCTTTATCTTTCCAATTATTAAATCCCTTACTCAGAAAAGCTTCACCACCTATTTGGTCACCATAATCGATTTTGAAAAGATAACAATTGAAACAAAAAATGCAATCTATTGCGACACTATATTCCATCCAACTTGGACCTTCCTCGTAACTCTCTGATGTAAACCTATGCTTTTTATCTCTGAAAATAGTGAAAGGAAAGTTATGATCTTTAGGTTGGCAAGGATTGTTCAACAAGTATGCTTTTCGAACTTCTTCCTTTTGTCAGTCAGCACAACAAATTCGTTAATTGGTATCTGATAAGTGCTTGAAAATACCCTTTTACTTAGTGGTTTATTGGTATTATTTGTGAGAAATTAGGTTCAAGTTGTGTGATTTGGCTTAATTATTTCATAAATGTCTTTTATGGGATCACGGGTATGTTTTGTGTGTTTTCAGGCTATAAATGCTTAAAAATAATTTTTGGATGAAGAATTATGTTGTGATGGAGTTTGTGACAATTGGAAACAAGTGGTTCAAGATTCAGAGTTAAAACGAGGAAGTTATGACGTTTTGAAGATTAATTGCAAAATTTGGAAAATTGTTTAAGTATTGAGCATGCCTCGGTACTTCAATGATACCTAGAGCTGTAGACCATTTTTAGTGATGATTCTTGAAGAATTGGAAAGCTAACAAAAAGATATACAATTCGTATTTTGAAGACTTCTTCAAATTCAGAAACATTCATACAAGAAAAAGATTATCTTTGTGTGTTGTGGCATAAGTCTACCCATGCCGCAGCACAACGACAGATGAAATTGAAGATTTTGCACATGCAGTGGCACAACGATAGATGAAATTGATGATTTGTGTGCATGCCGGTACAGTTAACTTATGCCATGGCATGACGACGATTTCCTAAAAAATCTAGATTTATGTAATTACGAATTTTTTTGAATTTAAGATTCTAGTCAGAATAGGATTATT